TTGACAGTTTTGCGCGATTTGTGGGCAAAATCTTTTTAGGAAAATTAATATAAATTTACAAGACTAATAATAAAAATGGAAAAATGTTGGCGTGGCAACATCATAATCATTGCGTTGCGTATATCTATCTGGAATCTGCATGCCTAATATCAGCTTTCTAGCTTCTTTGGTTCCTTAGATCTCGACATTCATACGAACAGACACACGGTATAAAAAGGTTATAAAACCCGAAACATTTTCTAAAAGCATGCAAGGCATGAGGACAAGTCTCTGGCTTTAGGGATGTACATACATATAATAAGCTACTGGCGCATGAAATTTACCTTTTTATCTCTTTTTTCTCGTTAAACTAATGGTTTTTTCTTAAAGTGGTACAAAGAATCTTTCTTCTACAGGTTCTAAAAACAATTCTCGTAATCAACTTTTATTTCTACAAATGTTTTTACTTTTGACTAAATAAATGCACGAACAAGCAGCTTCGAAATTGCACAATAAAGCATGTTCAGCTTTATCGAAGCATGACAATAACTATGATATTTGCTGCAAGGACATATTAACTGAGTATACATGAGGTGTCATTCAGCACGGATTTGCTTCAGATGACGGTATACATTTTTTTTATAAAAAAAAACAATCAACTTTCTCATTTGAGACCTTAAATATATTTTTATGAACCACAATCCCCAAGGACCCCAATATAAAACTGTAAATAGCATGTAACTTGCATATATTTTCAATACGCTTGGAAGTACAGTCGAATCACAAAAGCTAAGAAACAGTTCCTCTGTAGATGTACTTCATTTCACGCGCTTCAAAAATATTCACAAAACTTTAAGGCCGAACTCTTAGAACGACATATAAATACGTATATAACCACAGTTCGCGAGATTTTCCTAATTATGGTGCCGCAGTACATATTTAATTTGGCACATACATACATATATGTTGTTTCACCCCTATGTATACACACTCGCTTGAGCGAAACAACACCTAACTCAAAGGAAAATCATTAGACTTGCTCTACGACGTAGGCGGTAGCGCTATTTGATTGGTCGGCAGAGTTCGCGCTGCCTCCATACTTGAGACAAGACGTTTGGCTCAGACCTCCAGAGGCGTTACACGCGAGAGCTAGAAGAAATTTATGAGCATGGACCGCGTCTGTAAGGAAGCGGTGGATCAACCCACACCACTTCAGCGGGGCTTAAATTTATAAACTAGTATACATACACGTATTCATGTGAAAGTGTTGGTGTTTTAGACTGGATTTATCCCATGTCCCAACTCTTTAGCGCCTCAGATACCAGCAACTTACAAGCAATAAACTTTATTTACATACTTTATTGAATAGTCGATAGCCAGATTATAAACTATTTTGTCTTCAGGCCCATCGTAGTTATAACAGAATACTGTACCAAATTTAATGCTCCAGTAACCATGGATCCAGTAACCATGTACATGTAATACAAACACTTCCATCACACCCGTCTATCTATCTGGACCCACTGCTGCTTCCTCTGTTCTCCTTTTCTCATTCCCATTTCCCCAATGTATTGTAAGAATTTTGAAGATTATAATCCTGAACGATCGCACACCCAACAATACATGTGCGCAAGTACACAATAGCAACTAATGCAATCTTAGCCAAGCTAAGAAATATAACGCTAATCATTTCTTACCCAAAAAATTTAATAACATTAATACATGCCGCCATAACTGAATGGAGTAATAATAATACCGCATTAGAATACTTTATGATACAAAACCACAGGTATTCCTACGGCAGCTAAATGATATATATTTTCAATTCTGCTTTCAATAGTGTCAAAATCTGAAGTCAGTTATTGTTGAAGCTGCAGATGGCGTTATCACTTTTGGCTCACCTCGTGAAGGGGGGTTTTTATTTTAGTGGTAAGACTTGCAGACGATATTCTACTTATATGTATGTGTATTCCACTATTTTATATTGACGCCCATGACCATCCCATGATTTCCAAATCATAATTCGATTAAAAAAGTGTTCGGCGTGAAGAGTTAGTTAATTAGTTTTAATGGTCGAGTCTGAAAATCGAAAAATCTGTAGAACAAATCAATACTTTTAAAGGAAATCCAAACTAGAAATATGAACACATTCTTATGAATGGAATCCGTAATTTCCGTTCTACCGAATCAAAAAACAAAATCTTATAGATGTACGTACAAATTTGAACGAAAGCATTAAACGGATCTTTTGAACTCTTCGTTTTTCGTATGTAGACAAAACGCCATAGGTATGTAATGTCAAAATGCCTAGTTTATGTAGTGTAAATTATAAAAATTATACATTTAAATGGATGCCAGCACCATCTGGTGGTTGAATTCGCTGAACGCAATAGTGCGGCTACTTGACCCTAGATGTCGCTTACTGGAGAGAGTGAGTCTTTTTCCATTCCTTCCAGTCAAATTCAGTTTTCCCTTAAATTAATTTCCTTTATCTCTCTTGAAGGAGAAGAACAAAAGCGCACTTCTCCTTTAATTTTCCCCTTTGAATTCCACGATGTTTGTAACTGGATACAGCTAAAAATTCTCATTTCTTCGCTCACTCCCTCCGTAAAATATATAAAATATATACAGCTTGTATTTTTAAAAATAGTAATAGTGTAATAACGATATATAACGATTAATAATAAAAGAACCCACATTCCTACAATTACCCCTCAATTCAATATGAAGGATATTATATGCTTTTTGGATCTACAACAATGCGGTTGGGCGTTCGTAGGCCAAGCATATTTAGTATTTAGCTAATTATATTATTTAATTGGAATGTGATAAATCAAAATTAGCAAAGAGCACAAACAGTTCCGAGAAAATCCGTGAAAATAATCACGAGGTTTCCAGCCAAAGTCGAGGCTGGACACACATTCGTCCCCTTAAATGTATAATGTTTAGATATCGAAAATTAGATAAACTACTCTCTATAAACCAATCAAATTAAACACTTTAAAAGATTTCTTTCTGAGTGCAACAACCGTTTTCACACTGCTGCTCTTTACCCTAGGTTAGTTAGGTTAGTTTTAAATCTAAGGAGATATGTATGACATCAAACACCATACATCCGTTGTTTGTCGAACTGGATCACTTATATAATTTGAGCACATATCATTAACGAACGCATCGAATCAACAATTTATGTTGCATTTCAAAATTTGCACTCAGATGCTGAGTTGCTGTAGTTACGAAAATGCAAATCATTAAATAAAAGGTAATTTTCGTGTTTTAATACTGTTTTGTAAAATTGTGAAAATTCTAAGATATTGTAATTCTTAAATTCCACGGCTAGTGCAACTCGAGAGCATCGTAAGTTAAGTTAAATTATCCGAGTCAGTACGACTTTACTTTTAAGTTCAACAAATTTTTAATGCTATTACTACCAGATAGTTATTCAATCAATCATCATTTGTGTTCATCATGTAATACATCAATAAAATATCTCTAGATACGGTTTAATTTTCAAAATGCTGCCCACTTTTGCTTTGTAACCCATTCGGCATGTTTAAGAAATTTAGAGAAAATAATTTAAATAACCCGAAAAGCCACCACCATTCAAGAGTAGCGTCGTGAAAAGTGTAAGACCCAGACCCCAGAAGCAATGCTCCTACACTCTCAACCCTCCATCTATCAGAATCAGAATCCTTTGTACAAAAAATCCCCATCGAGGGCAGCACTGCCTCTACCAAAGAAAATCGGTTTCCATCGCACTACGGCAGTACGATAGCGCCGAGCTGAGCTTCCACGCCATCATCATCAATATTTGAATTTAAAATTTCGTTTTTTGCAAACACGCGCCATGTTTATTTCTTTTCTTTTGATTTTTCTCGCCTCCAATACCGGCTCTTTTCTGCGTCCCATTTTCTATCGGCCCGGCCCATTTGGACAACCGAACAACCAACACCCACACCACCATTACCACCACCACCCAGCATAGCAACTCAATTCTAAGGTCCATTTCCACCCCCATGCCGACTTGGCCCAGAATTGCGTTTTGTTTTATTACGCGAGCATTTTCTTTCATTAATAGCCGCGAGGCATTAAATTTTTAAATCATCAACTTGCGCATGGAGAGGAGTGGATGCACGAGGAAGCACGGCCAAGAAAGAAGGAAACGCTGGGGACCGAAAAGAGACGGAAAATGGAAAATGGAGTGGGATGGGATGGGATGGCCATTCGATGGAGGGCAGGAGCAAGTACCGAGAGACTTCACTAATGATGTTCTCGGTACAGTCGCGTATAATTTTGTACAGTGGTCCCGGGAAAGGCGATTTTCCTCCACTGTTGAATTAACATCATTGACTAGATAACAAGTTACTCTGTGTCACCAAAGCAATCAGGTAGGGACCCTCTGAAACTGCTTCGCCCAAAGCTCGTCCAAGAAGCTGACAAGTCTCAGTAGGAATAGTGTGTGCCTCTTGCTGGCACGATACCATCATATGCAAATGACGAGATCTTAAACTGGCAATAACCAACCCCACTGATTCCTATATGCCTCACTGAGTCAATATCGCTCATGAGGAACTCAGGCTTGCAGCTGCGCTCCGGTCTTCCCATGACTGTGTCCTGTTCCTGCTCCTAGTCCTCATTCTGGACGTTACGTCACTGGACACTTAATGGTCTGACCAAGGGGACGGGACACATCGTGGAAACTGGTTTTCACACGCTAAGCCAAATCAATCCGGAACAGCGATCGGGGTTGGGTTATCTGGGTTGTCGGGCTGGGCAAGGCCGAGCCAGATGGCCATGCGAGTTGGGGTTGGGTCAGTTGGTTGAAATTTGCATAAGCGTTCGACCTTCGGCAACTGAAATACGGACCGCTATAAAGTGGTCAGACTGGTTCTGTTGTGTCTCAAATCAGACATATGCAACAATTGAGCCTTTTTCCTTTACCCCTTGGCCCGAGCCTGGTTTTCCGTAGCGCAACTCACCACACGACCGCTCTCACATGTGAATATGAAGTCTCAGTTGCTTTTGGCAAACATTTTTCCCTTACATTGTCTCATTTAGGGTTTCGCTTCGAACCGCCGCAGTTGAGTGTTAAGGAAGCTATCGCAAGCATGTGTTTATCGACCTACGTTTGTTTTGTAGAACATTGGTATCTACATTTGCTCGAATAGAAGTCTAATACTCCTAGTGTATACTAACCCGTGTAAAACCGACCTGAGCCCACGGTTACTATATTCATTCTAATGGTATCACTGACATGGTCATACACATACTAGAATGAATACAATGTACCCCCCATGTTCCGTGTATTCCGATTGCTATCAGTTATTAAAAAAGTATATTGCAGTGAAATCAAGCAAGAACGCTATAGGTGAGGGCCGCGACTATTATACACCCATTACTCAGCTCAAGGAAGTGCGAAATATATGGAGATAAGTTAGCAACAAGCAAGTCCTGTACCATGCACACATTGAATGCAAGCTAGTAGTAAAGATACTGCTTTATAGTGTTCATGCGCACTAACATCACTTGCTAATATTTTTCAGTGAACTTTAACAGTTAACTTTTAACAACCTAATGATCTGCTTTCAACAACGTTGGTAATTCCATTCAAACTTTCCAAATACATACATCAATCAAGTGAGCACAATCAAATAAGAACGGGCGTAAGAGGGGCTCGACAGTCTACTGAACCAATTATGGGTGCCGAAGTTCATACGGATCGAATAGGTTATTAATCCTAATCAACAATACGCTTCCTCTAGCTGAAACATACACTTCTTTAAGAATATAGCGTACCCTACTCCCATCAGTAACGGGTAAATACATAATTTTTCTAATACATAATTTGTTTCTTTACGATCAAGACGGTTATCTATGGATTAATCTCTTTGAAGATTTTAATAGAGGTTAACTTCAAATGCATATTCACTAGATAAGAATAGGGCCATTATATTACATTAGTATTAATTAAATAAATATTTATAATTATCAATATTTACGTAAAGAAGTAAAGTTAAAGTTAAAGACGTAAAGTTAGCTTATCACTTAAAAATGGTCTATGATATTTATACCCTATACTCCTAACTAACTTTATGAAAAGTACTTAACGGGGAGAAGGAAGCGTTTCCGACCCAATGAATCTGCCAATTCGATCTGGCCATGTCCGCCTCTCCGCGCGCGTATCCGTCCATATGAACAATGTGACCCTCCTTTGCACTATAAATGCTAGAAAGCTATGATTGAGAATGCTGACTCGCCCACTCAAACACCCATAGCCCCACCAAATCTGTCACGCCCCGGCTTTTAAAAAATGGTTGGATTTTGTCTTGAACATTTTTATGGAAATACCAAAAAGCTGTCTCATTTAATACTTTAAAAACTGTTTTCGGTACTCTTAAAGTGGGTGCGCGAAGTTATATATAGATTATAAGAGAAAACTTGTAAGCTGTAATTTCAAGTAATCAGAAATTTGCCTATTTGTTTCGCATGTTTCTTCGTCTTGGCATTTAACCATCCAAATTTAATACAACGAAAAGGAATCGACAAAATATATAGCGCGGCATGTTTACTACAACAACAGTATGTACTCATACATTTATACATAAGTTTTAAATAATTTTTTGAAAACTCCTGTTGGGGATTTATCAAATTGTTTTCCAATTCAAAAGGTCTCAGTTATCTTCTAGCTTTTGAATAGGGATGGAAAGATTTATTTTCTAGGGCACAATAAAAATGTAATATTTTCTTCAAACAAAAAAAATGGTTCTTAAAAACTAAACACAAGTCAATAAAGTCTATGGGCCTATCGATCAATTATCTTTCAAATGTTTCTAATAAAACCATAGAAATGACGAGAGTTTAGCAAATAATTTTATATAAAATATCCCCCTTTCTTTGTTTTATCTAAATTTTATTCTCAGATGATGTTCAATATACATACTTTTTAACACTTATGTATGTACATACCATTTGGGTTGTACCAAATGTCTTGCACATACATAAATAACACACATTTTAGAAAAGGCATTCGCAAAATCGTGCTCTTTCAACAGTTTATGTATTTATTTTTTCTCTACACCATTTTGTTTAGTTCGCAGAAATAGGAGTGTCCCATTTGTCGGCTTTCTTCATTTTTATTATTTTTGTTTTTGTAATTGCAAAACTCTTCCGCAAAATGAGGGTGGATTTGTACTGTAGATGGTTCCAACAAATGTTCTGCCAACCATTTTGTTTTCTTTCATTTCCAGAATACTCACCCCAATACGAACGTAATGAGATGCGGCAACTCAATAACAGTGCAATCGCTGTTTCTTTTTGTTTATACATTTTTGTATTGATTATGTGATTGCTAATATTTATATATTTTGTAAATTTGCTTTAACCATAATATACTTGGACGTTATGGGTATGAACGAAACACATATACAATCAGTTTACGTTCAACTAATAACGCGACTAGCCACTTGAGGAAATCAATATAAGAACAGTACTCTTAGGTAATGAAAAAAGAATAATTTAGAAATGTACATGAACTATTACGCCTCCAGTTAAAACTATTTCATACACTATGTACAATGTTCAAATGGTCGGTAGAGCCAATCAGTCTAAAAATAGCAAAAATATAATTTTAACAAAATGTAGTTTGAAATATAAAAATCTATATCTTAGATTATCTTTCTAGTTTTTACATTATTTCACCAATATGTTTTGCCGCAGTATTATGTTAGTATCACTAACATTGATTTATTTGGGATTTTAAAAGTTAATAGAACAATAGAAACTCTTATCTTATCTTACTATTTACTTACATTTTTAGACTTTTTAAAGTCACAAAGTGTCGATTCGCATTATGAATTCTCGCATAACATCTATGTACACATATATACCAAAAAAAAATTTTATTAAATCCAATGCCAATAAAAAAATTTAAATGCAAAATAACTTTTTAAATGCAATTTAGGTGAAAGAAAATTATAAAAATTACAAACAGCGTAAAACTGTGCCGCACACACTTTTGAAAAGAATGTAATTTTTCCAAATAATGACTTAAAAATTTGAAAATGAATGCAAAGATATTTTTATTGAGAGTTCTGTTATTTTATTGAGAGTAATTTTAAAGAAGGAAGAACGTTATAATCGATTTCAGATACCTGTTATTCAGTTAATGGGAGTGCCTTGCAAGGCACTATATTGGCAAGACCACAATAAAATGAAAAAAGAAAAATAAAAATAATTTTCAAAGTGGGTGTGACAGTTTTGGCAGTATTAGTGGGTGTGTCAAAATGTTTGTCAGCATAAGAAAGAACCCCGAAAAAATGTTCAAATGTGTGAGGGTAGCAGTTTTGAGGGGTTGGCAATTTTCTGAAACAAGCCTGCATTGCGTCAGCGTCTCTAGAATCTGCATGTCTTATCTTAAGTTTCTAGCTTTCATAGTTCCCAAGATAACAGCGTTTATACAGACAGACGGACATGGCTAAAAATACTTGGCTAGTGATCGTGATCAATTAGATAATAGTGACGTTAAAAACTTCATCTGTTTCCTTGTAGCACATGTACTCCGTATGGATAAAATATAATAATAAATAAAACAAATAATAAATAATGCTAATAAAATACAACTAAATTAAATGCACATGTTATTTTAATGGAAACAGTAAGGGCCTTCATAAAGAGAGCCTTCATTGCTCACCTAGGACTCACAAGGACATCTTGGAAGACCGTACACATGTGGGAAAAGGGTTACAGCTTGGTCGCAAGTTAGTTCTTCACTTCTCGAAACGTCTCGGAACAAACGTGCCGCTGACTTTAAAAAGCCGAGAGAGCGATGAATGAGGAGCAGAACCAAAACCTTCCCAAGCGAAAAGTCAGGGGAAGAAAAAAATCAACTAAAAGTGTCAATACGATCTCAACCGAAATAAGAACTCTCCAAACCGCAGGTGATATTCTATTCAGGCTAAAGATAGAAAGTAAAGCTTGGAAATAAAGGACCTACATATACAGCTTGGTGAGTGAAAGGGAAGTCATTCACCTAGACGCCAACGTTGTGATTATGTACGTATACACGAAGGTGAATAATTTCGGTGTGTAAATAAGCATCTATACACCTTAAGGTAACCTAGCATTGCCCCAAATAGTAAGGGTTAATACGTGAGCTTGGTAATAATCAGCAAGCTGTTTTCAAAGGAAATAAACTGGTAGCTGATATGTTGTTTACATATGTGCAACTCAAAAAAAAAAAACAATATTAATAGCTGCTTTCTGATTTTGAGTAATAGAATAGGAGCATTTATACCCGATATTGACGGTAAATTTAGGAAGATACAGAGGTCACATTTGAGATCCATGGGACTGAAAGCATTAAGAGCGTGGTCGACTACACCTTGTTCGCCATAGGAAAACTGAATTACAGCATCAAGTTCCGAAACTTTCACACATTAGTTTTGGGCGGTTTGTGGGCGTTAGAAGGGGCATTGCGAAAAGTACTATTATGCAAGTCAATAGAAATTTACATAACTAATAAAAAATATCATGCATTCTTAATCCCAACTTTTATAGTTCCTTAGATCGACTCTGCTACTGACCCTGATCAAGAATATATATATTTTATATAGCCGGAAACGCTTCGTTCTGCCTGCCACATACCTTTACTCCAAGAGTAACCGGTATTACTTAATTACATACTCTGCCATTTTTGGAAAAAACATTGTTTATCAACTCATAATTTTTTTTCAAATGAATAGGGTTTATCTTCACCGTAAACCACCTTATTTCGAACGGGCACCGAAGACTGGATGCCACGCCTCACCTGAAAATACTTTTGGCTGAAATGTATAATATTGTATACTAGCACAGCTGCGACTTTCGTCCCAATTTAGCAGTGAGTGATGCTTATCATCCCATGCCAATCGAAGATACCCAACCGATGAAACAATTTTCCGTTACCTTTCCTTAAAAACAAACAATGCGCAGTGGTTTTTGAATTACCTTTTTATGGAAGAATTTACAGTTCTCTTAATATTGACTACAATAAAGTTGAGAGCAATATATATCAATAGCGTTTTACATATAATATATATATATTTTTTAATTTCATTTAACACAGAGAGCAGCGCACATATTAAATAATAACAGAAAATAGCTGCTGGTAACTAAAATTTCGATGTTTAAGTATTTGTACATATTCGCGGATTGATGAACTATTACATTCAAATACAGATTCTACATTTAACTTAGACGTGACTTCTAAAAGTTGAAAATGAAATATGCTGTTTTCAACGTTATCATTTGCATATCCAAATGTTTATTTTCTCCGTTGTAAAAACATCTACGGAAATAAGCTTAAAAAAATCTTATTTAGAGATGTATGTCTTATTTTGTAGACTAGTAAACAACACATGGCGAGGGCGGCCAAAATCAAAATGTTTATTTGTTGACAAAAAACGCTGGATTTGGGGATAAATTCGTCGGCATTGTTATCATGTTGCTCTGGTGCTGCTGGTGCATCTGCTGTTGTTGTTGACTTCTGGTGTTGGTCGCATATAACTGCTGCTGAAAACTATGATATTGCTGGGCATACTTCAGGTCCGTGGAGGAGGGACCTACGAAATTGATACCAGAGACGCCGTTAGAAGCACCAACACTTCCGGCAGTTGACATTAAATTATTATTGGTAGGTCCAATTAAAGACTGACCCTGCGACTGCCCTTGCCCCTGTAGTTGGATCTGCCCTTGTGGCGCTGCCAATCCAGATGGGTTTTGACACATTCCACTAGGTAAGTTTTTCAGGTGTTGTGACTTGGGCAGATTGGACTGTTGCGATGATGCAAACAAGGGTGGTCCAGCGTTGTTGCAGGTGGCGTTGTTGAAAAAGGATGAGGGATCCCCGACACAGTCAAGACCATCCGATGACTGTGCAAACTGATTTTGCCTATTAACGGCTTGCATCCGCGGGCCCATTGCATGTGGTCGCATGGTATGTGGACGCATGGGCCTTATCATAGATGGTTGAGCAATATTCATTGAGACGTCATGGCCAGCTAATCCACTCTCTTCGTCCATAATGGACATTTGATTGCAATTCTGAAAGAAGTTAATGCTGTTGTTTGCCGCAGGGTTGTTTGTGATCTTGTTCTGATGCTGCTCTCCCGAGGAATTCATTAGCATCGCTCCTGTTCCCGGTCCCACCATCATTCCGGACATTCCAGAACCACCGTCGATTCCAGATTGTGGGCATACCGGCGATCCATTACCTACAGTAGCCATTTGTGGGTTAGCATACCTCTGCAAGAACTCCAGACTAGGTGGCATTCGCACATTGTTAGCTCCATTGTTGTTATTGCTGTTGGCGTTCTGTGCCCTTACTGGCATGTATTGTATGGTGTTTGGTGTACTCGCCTTTACCTGTATATTCGGATTAAAATTCGAACCAAAATTGACTGGCATTCGACCCATCATTCTGGCCCCTGGTGGCACAATGCCTTGAAAATTTGGAGAGTTTGCTGATCCACAGCCAGGTATTCCAGCAGACCCTATGGAATTCTCTCTTAATACACCATTGGGGGAGTTAGGATTAAAGCCATTTGGACCGCCTGGAACGCACATTTTAGGATTTAGCATTCGCGGACCCATTGAGTTCATGACGACATTCATTGAATGACAGTTATTTTGATTTATGGCATCTATTCCAGATCCATCTAGTCCCGAAATCATTCCATGCTCAATATTGATGTCAGACGGTCCCGGACCGCCCATCATAGTCATACCACCAGTTCCGGCTGGACTTCCCATGCTGGACACGCAACTTGTTAGTTGTTGGGACATTTGTGCCAAAGAAGAGATTGGATCGAAGTTTTGAGTCATCTTGCTAGGTGGCGGCTGATTGCCGCTATTCGGATTTAGCGGGATATTATCGGAGCGCCGACTAAATTGTACGGATCCTCCTTGTGCTGAAGATTGACGCTGAAATAAAAGATAAATTAACACAGAAACATTAAATAAAATATTTAAATATTACCTCCATCTGTATATTGGTAGAGCCTATTTTATAGGCGTTTAATGCTGAACTCGAATTGCTTTGCATATGCGGGTGTGGGTTAAAAATTACACCAGGACTGGAGGCAGCAAATCTTACATCTTTGTTTGCCTCTATTAGACTATTTACTGGTGACCGATGACCCTGGGGGCTTGGTCGCCTACTTTTTATGTTATCACCTGAGAAAATATTATTAATATTATAATATTAAATATATACATTTTTATAGATTATATTTAAATAAAAGTGATTTTAAATTAACTACATTTGAATGTTCGTATTAAATAGTAATAATAGCCTGCATATCAATTGTGCTTTATAA